AAGGTGTACTTAAATTCTGYAATTCAAATGTTCACAGAGCATTTTATTTCTATATAGAGATAAGTAAAATATTCAGAAAGTTATCAAACCTTTTCATCTGTTGTGTAGAAAAGAACAGCGGTAAGAGCTTGACTTTCCTTGAATTTTATCCAAATTGATTAAAGTCTTTATGCAGTAAGTTTAAATACTGCAACTGCATTTTTTCCCCCAGTGGATTAGGTTCAAATTTGAGATGGCCACAGAACTATTAATAGCATATCTTGGATGTATTCTAATAATAATATATAAATACCTAAAGTGACTCCCAAGAATGCTGTTGTCTGTACTATCTGACCTGCCATCAAGATCTGATGCTTACTGTGGTRTAGCTGAACTTTGATGTATTTTAATTAAGTCTCCTCTGACCATCCCTCTTTGTGGTAGTTTAGCTTGTTATCCTGCTCCATGAATGGGAATGTGCAGAACTGAGTCAAAGGAAAAAATAAGGTGACCTTTTTAGAGTCAGAATTCTTGAAAATGGGAATATATTCATGTTTTCTATCTACTGCTTTTTTTTTTCTTCTTTTTGCACATGAGAAAAAATGAGGCACTCGGAACCTCACCACTTATTTATAGATTTTTCCTTAATGGGTGGGAATAATAACTTAACTTAAAAGTTAGGTGTGAATGTTTCAATGAACCTTGATGGAATTTCACATTTACAGCTGTTAATAAAGAAGGGAATTGTTGTAGGTGACTCCTTCCAAGGGGAACTGAGGGCCCTGTGTACAAGCTGGATCCATCCCACAGGGAAGTCTTCTGCTTCCCTGGGGCCCAGATAAGAGATATTATTAAGTCTCCCTGGACTGATTTGACCCTCTGATTATTACCCTTTTCTGGTTGTCCAAGTCAGTGGTGACCAGAAGCTCTAGGGCAGTCAAAAAGGACTTTGAGGCACTGGGATAATGGGTTGAAGGGACAGGAGCACAGGTGGTTTTCCTCAATTCCTTTGGTAGCAGGGAAGGATGCTGAAAGTTGAGAACACACCTGATCAATACATAGCTTAAAGATTGTTATTATCCAGGAAATGTTGGCTTTTTTGATCATGGAGTGGTTTATACAGCACCAATCCTACTGCAGAAAGATGGAATTCATTGTCTAAAAAGGGGAAATGTTTGTAGTTTCATTTGTCATACCGTCTTGCTAAACTTGAAGCTTGAAACTAGAGGTTTTGAAACAACTCGCTGTATTGATGTCAAAGGGGGTTTTTTTTGTTTTTTGTTTTTTTTTATCATTTTAAGATTGTAATTAAGATTTCATTTTTCTCATTGTATTTCACTGTGAAGACACAGGTTTAATTATCCTGAGCTTCTCCTGTCCCTACAGAATATGTCCAAAAGACATGAGGTCATGGGGAAATTGATCTCAAAAGCGTTACCAGTGTTACCAGAGAAGGTGAATCAATGCTTGTGATCCTGAAAATAGACCAATGTTCACTCATTAATGCTACAGATATATTTGTAGGTACTTGACTGGGCCTTTTAATATATGTGCAGCATCTGTCAAACAGCCTGTCTGTGTCTGCTAGGATAGTTACCACCTCTTGAAATAACATATGCCAAGCCATCAAACTTTATCTTGCATTGGCATACACACCAGAGGTTTAGTCAATATATTGGTTTCAGCTGGGGAACATGAWTTTTCTAAGTTCTGAGCTATATCAACAGACTTTCATAGTCCAGATGGGGCTGTAGACAAGTTCTTGCCACTTTTTCAGCCAGTGACTTTGTTGAGCAGATTGAATTGACATGTTGCTGGAAATGTAAGAAGCCAATGTGGGTTATTCAGCAGCAGGCTTTCATCAGTTTGGATGCACCACTTTAACACCACTGAGAATTTGTAGATAGTGCGTCATGGAAAAAAGGTAACTTCTGATTCTTGTTGTTTATACATGTTTGAGAAACAGCAGCTTCCAGGGATGCTGTATTTTAATTTGCCATATGTGTGAAAAGTTTAATTAGCATATTCATCACCCAGCCCAGAAGTAACACTACAATTGCTTTCTCAGGCAGTTCATCAATTGAGCAATTCCAGCAGTCAGCTCTGTCTCCCAGAGACAGCTCTGCATCCTCCCACAGCAAACAAAGTGAGTGTGGCTGAGGATTTGTATCAAGGCTTTAAAAAGGATATGACTTTGGTATTCTCTAAAAACTGGTGCACRTGAGCATCTACAATTTCTCTTTGCTTTAGCAGCAGCCTGTCCTGCGTGACGAAGATCAGAGRTGAGGCCCTGCTCTGGGAATATGCTCTCCTGGATGCTGCACAGCCTAGATAATAACTGTGGTCTCTGTTGTGTGCAAACCAGTGGAGGCTMTATTGTGGTCATGATAATTTTCTTTTCTTGGGGAATTAAATTATGGAGCAGAATCCTGTAACTCTTGTCTKTCAACCCATATTAATAAGGTGCCACCTACAAAACGGATTTGAAATTGGTGGAAACTTGTTCACGGGGCAGAATTCGTCAAGGGGCTATCCCATCAAGCAAAGAAATGGGCAAAGAGCTCCCTCAAAGTTACTACAGCAATTTCATGTCAGATGTGCACTTATTTAAAATAACTTTGTTATATTTTTAGTTAATGTTGGGATTAGTGTGCGACAATCAATGTAGTTGCTGCTCTGAAAAAAAAAAGTCATTTCAGCCATGTCCAAATGAATGCAAAGGTATGGARAACCTCTTCTCCCTTATATTCTCACCTCTACTCTTATGCCCACACATATCTCAAAGGCAGCATCAAGCTGTATCGGATAGAGTTGCAAAATGCATTTTGGTTTAGGTCAAGGCCATTGAATTTGAAAGATGAGTCTTTCAAGTTGTAACTCAAGGTTAGTTCATGTAACTCCAGAAAACTAGAGCAGAAGGAATCAGTAATTTAATAACATTATACCTTCCACACTGGTTACAGCCTGGAAGAAAATGGTGTCTGTGCTCCTAGACCAGAGGAAACAATGGAAACAGTGGAAAACAAAGCCCACTGAGGGAGGAAGATTGAGAAATGCACTTCAAAGGCACATTCATGCCGCAGGTTAAACCCTCAGTGCAGGCACATGCACAGTGTTCTTGGTATTCTTGGACTCCACAGAGARCTGTAATGTGCTTTTCCTGCTACAGAACTTGCTATGATACCTGATGCTGCCATAAAATAGGAGTATTTGAGACATGTAGAATAATATAAGAGAAAATATTGGCCGAATGCTGCAGATGGCTTAGTTTTAAAAAAACAGAAACAAAAMCACCAAAACAAACAATGAAACAAGAACTAAATAGCAATTATTAAAATGCCCAGCTTTCATCAAGACAGGTAGAAAATTACCTCTTCATTAACACTCCTTGACTATTATTTTTTCTTTATGTGCTGAGTAAGGAAATAGAGAGCTAGCCTAGTATTGAAACAGAAAGAAAATAAGACTTTAATGAGGGTTTCATCAAAAGGTTAATAAACTCTCACCTCCCTCAATATCCCAATTTTGCTGTACATTGCTTCTCAGTGCTTATTCTCTATGAATCCTTACAGTTATATTTCATTAATATTGAAATGCATAATAAAATTATTTTCAAATATCATTGTAAGAAACCARACAAGGTTTAATTCAGTCCATTTGTTGTTGATCAATAATATTTGAAAAGAAAAATTAAAGATGACATTAAATTTACCAAGTCTATATTTACTGATAGTCTGTAAAGTTTTGCAAGTCAAGTTTCAGGCAGCAGTGTAGAMATACTTTATTTGTTGAGCTGAAACAATGAGTATCAAACAATAGGAGCAAAGTGTCCCCCTTTTAGGACTTGAAATTGCATGGATTTCAGCAGTTTTATTGCAGTAAAAAGAACAGCAGATTTCCAGCAATAAAATGATGTGTTAGCTCAGATAGTGACATACCTRGCACACAATTTTGTTTGCTGTCACATTTATGATAACTGAGAATGTGGACAGAAAATTAAGTGGAAAAGTCAACAGTACTGATTAGGACAAGGTAAATCTATAAAGTAGGAAGTTGAAGAGAGAGGAAAACAAAAAAAACCCAACCAATTAATTTTGATAACTCAGATTTTTTTTTATTATTATTTTAGTAGAAAAAAATAAAATAAACTATGGAAATAAAATAAACTCTTGGAACTCCAGTTGCAGTTTACCTTTTCTTTTACAATTTTCAGTAGGTTTGGATTTTTGTTTGTTTTGGTTGGTTTGTTGGGTTTTTGGTTTAATTGTAGAGCTTCACCCATTATTTATTTGTAGATAATGCCTGATGAAATGAAGCTGCTATGTGTTGGGAAAGATTGCTTGGAGCTTCTTTATGTTAGCATGTGAAGTACACATTTCCAGATTAAAAAATAAATTACTGAAAAATATGATGCTGTAAATTCAGCAGGGAGTTGTTGCTAAGGGTAGATGCCTCCCTGTACCTGTAGGAACTCTCAGTGCTACTGTACTTTTCTTTTTAATTCATTACTGTGTGTTGCTACCTAAGTGCTAGTTTAGTACTCACAGTTGCMGTCTTCTTTTAAAATTTTTAATCTTTCTAAACTCAGTGTGATTGTCACATCTCATTAAAAAGTTTAATGCCACGTACTGTATGAACAAAATGTTAACCAGTGCACTTTTAATCTACTAGTGGTGTAAAACAGACAAAACAACAGAGCTGCTTAAAGATTTCTCATGCCCATCTTTCTTACTGTGAATTTGTGCTAGCTGTTTATTCATTTTATTGGAACCACCAAGATGAAGTGACCTACCCTCTTTAATTTTGGTACCATTACTCTTTTCCATCCCTCTTTGCTCTTGTTTCTTTTTCTTGTGATCCTCTTTGTCCTTTGCAGCTACTATCCTTGTGTTTACCCCCACACCAGTGTGAGCAGAAACTTATCATCTGGTATTTTACAGCTTCCCATGGAGCTTTGGGATTATTCAGTCTTGTTGCTTGTGCTGTGGTTWATCCAGACTGCCTGTGTTTTTATTTTTCAGGAGACTGAAGCAGCAGTGCAGGCCAAACAGCCGAATGTGGAAGAGGTTTTGTCTAAAGGGTGTCATTTATATAAGGAAAAACCAGCTACTCATCCAGTAAAGGTAATGAAGCAACCTTTAGCAATATCCATTACTGTGTAATAGGTTATGCTTCCCCTGTTGTACACTTGTCCTTGATGTGCTCTGTTTAAAATGAATAAAAGGACCTGGTAAATGGCATTTGTTCTGTTCTGTGATGGCACAGCCAGGGAAAATGTAGTGTTCCCAGCTAAAAAATATTTTGCATATTGTGATGTGAATATTGTTTTTGACATTAAGGTTGTTCCACTCATTCAAGCGTAACTCACACTGAAAGCAAATGTAATTTTTGGTGCCTAATTATTGGCAACATGTAAAACTTTTTAAACTACTTMATTTTAAATTTCACTTTCAGAAATTTTTTCAAATAAGAAAAAAAAGAGCAAATTTTCTAGAAAAGGTAAGAGTCAAATCATAAAGAGAGAACTTGAGKTTTTTATTTATTTATTATTATTTTTGCATTTTGAATGAAAGAACACAGGGCAGCAGAACTTTCCCACTCAGTTTCTCTGCCAAAWTTTTTCTAGAATGACTGAATTAAATCTGTTTTGGAGCAGAGGACATATTGTTAGGAGTGCTATGTTTCCCAGCACTTCTCTTTTAGAAAAAAAAAAAATGTACTGTAGAATCCTTTTCCTCGGCTTGTGAATCAGTTACCAGGGGATATTTTGCATGCTGTTCCTAAGGACTGTGTGGACCTTCACTGAGTCCAGAGTGTCATTTTCTGTCCTGTGGAATCTTGAAGGCRTCAGCAAGCATCCTCCCATGTCTGCTCCTGCGTTTTGAGAGGAGACCAAACTAGTGAGGTCAATACCACACAACGAGACCCTGGGTTTGTTTGTCATTTTATAACTGCTAATTAAGTRTCTGTGAATATGACCATTAAGAGCTCCCAGAAACAGTAACAGAGGCTTATTGATTACACAAATATCTATTACCWTTGTTTCTGACTGAACAGAGTAAACTTTGTATTTAGAGCTTTTCCAAACATCAACTGGCAGAAAAAAGTATTTCTTCACAAAGTTAGATGTCTGCAGGTGATCTCTGCAGTGAATTTCTTGTTTTTCTTGCTCTGTTCAGTCACTGTAGTTGGAGTATTATTTTCCTTCTTTTACAAAATTTCCACTGAATTACTTATAAATTCCACCAGCAGATCTCCATTCACAGAAACACATTAATTAATTGATAGCCACTTCAGAAATKAATGCAAGAGTTATTTGGTTTCTCTTCTTATTTCCAGAACAGAGATGCTGAAAAGTCATTATCCCCTTTGATATATGTRCATTTTTAGTGATCTGTTCCCCTAAACGTAATAAAATGCTAGAAGAGATAGACTCAAGGTGGCTCGAATAGGCAAAAGCAAGGCTCTGTTGGGTGTTTTCCTTGGCTGATAAACCTGATTTTTGTGGGGAACTGACATGTCATTTACACACCAAATGGGTGATGGAATAAGAATCACACTGCAATAACTGCATTTACTCATTTTGTGTGACTTCAGCTGCAGTCTTCAGGGAGCTTATTCCACATTTTAACAAGCAAAGCATTCACAACAACAGAAAACTAGAGGGTTTGGCTTTCTACATTTTTAATTGCTTGTAAAGAATAACAGAATGAATGTTGGTATTTTCAAGAGGAAGAACTAGTGTTTGTTTTATGTAAAACTGACAGAAGCATAAATGATGTTGAAATGATTCTGTTTAGCCCAAAATTCTGACATAGAAAGTACTCTGTGTCCATATACTCCAAGTGTTCACATAAAAGACACTGGAACCTGCCACTTTTTACCAGATTTACTGGAAAATTATTACTATTGAAAGATTATAAAGTTCCTTGAGTTGTAGTTTTGACAATGATATTATAAAATTTCTGTGAGGAAATTAGTAACTTGTGGAGTAGTGCATATTTAATTTYTAGTCCCTCTTTGATTACATTTTGCTTGTTTCATTACATTCTGTAGTTCATTTAATTCTGCAGCCTCTGAAGTTAATTTCTGCTTCAATGTCTGTCTGGTACAATAAGTCATAAAGCAGTGGTTATTTGCTGTCAGGATTGTTGAATTGCTTTCTTGATGCTGTAGGTAGGGTTCCTTAAGTCATCATTCTTCTTGAGTTACTYTCAGCACAATCAGCTATTTATATGTTTCAACTTGGATTCTTTGGCTAAAATCAAAATAATTTTCTACACAAAAGGTATTTTGYGGAAGCAAAATATTTTAGCTCAGATTGAGGTGATTTGTAAAAGATATTAGCAAGATTGCAAAGAACTCAAAATTTCAGAAAATTCTTGAGTTAGAGCTTCTCTGGTGGCCTGGGTTTAGGCTGAACCCTGCATAATTCAGTTCATGATATGGACAGCATTCGCAGCACAAGCAGAAATTCAGTACTTAGACTCATAGTTCTTCTTTCAGTATGTGGCATAGAAAAATAAGATAAAATTGCATGGACTCTTTAAAAGCCTTAACTACTTGCATGGCATTTCTTGACAAATTTGTAGATTATTTAGTTCTCTGAGGCAGCTTTGCTTTTTTTTCCTACATTATTTCCTTAATTCACCACAAATCTTCCCATTCTTTTCAATRAATGAAGTAGAGGTCCTATTGACTTATCCTCACCGCAAGCCTTTCCTGTGCTCAAAAGCAGTATGTGCCAGAAAATTAGAGATATCCCTGCAATTTATGTGCATTTTATCTGAAATAATGTTCATAGTTAGAATTATTCTGCCATTTCCTAATGTTTAGCTGCTTATCTTTACAACCTTTACAATATATTCTCATTATATTATTTTGAATATAAATTAAATCCCATGGATTTTTATTGACACRTACTTAATCTTATCTCATAGTTATGTCACTGAAATAAGTATATTTTCACACCTTCACCAAGCAYACTGAAATAGAATTTTCCAATGCAAGTCTGTAAAAACATTTTTGTTGGCAAATGAAATCCTTGTATATGCTGATTCAAGAGTCRAGAATGGGATGAGATGTGTGATCCTTTAAGCACTAGCACTTTATTAATCAGACCCATTCACTTTTACAAAATGGATTTCACAGGTTTGAAATGCATTTCTGTAAAGCTTTTGAAGGTGAGGGAGAGAGAGGTTACTGCTGGTGTCAGTGGCARTAGAAAGAATATAAGCCCCAATCTCATGATTAACAGCACTTAATCAGAACAGTTTATTCAGGAAAGGATTTCTGTGCCAGTGGAAGAGCTGTGGTTCCCTTGCCACAGCCCTCAATTTGTCTTTTCCTCTGGTGGGTGAGAAGTAAGTAGTGATGAATTTATTTTCATTGTCCTCAGTATTGCATTTAAAAGACTACATTTCTCTCTCTAAATATTCATATCTAATTTTAGTGCTGTCAGTGAGATTAGTTCACGAAAGGATGTTGACATCACCTAAATTGCACCAGTGCTGACATTTAAAGAAAATCTAGAAAATCTGTGCTAAGTGCAACATATTTGGATATTCCTGCTTGTCACCAAAGCTGTAGAGTTGCAATTAGAGCAAAATTGTTGTGCTCAAAGAAGTTAACATTTTAATGCTTGTTTGTTAATTTATGCCAGATCTTATGCAAGATCAAACTGTAATTTTGATAGAAGGGTTTAGAACTGGTACTAATACTCTGTTATTAGTGGTGTGGCTGTTACTTCAGACAACCCTTTCTAACGTGTGGGGTGAGCATGTTTTATATTTTGTCGTTGCTGGAAAGAAATCTGTGGCTCATATGTGTAAGAATGATCAAGCAGCTACTCATGACAACATCAGAATAATGGAACAGAGTCCAACTCTTGGCCCAGCAAATGACAGCCCCAGAACCACCCCATGTGCTTGAGAGAGTTGTTCTCCTTGAACTCAGACAGGCTTGGAACTGTGACCACTTCCCTGGGGAGCCTGGTCCAATGCCCAAACACCCTCTGGATGAAAAATCTTTTCCTGATATCCAATCYAAACCTTCCCTGCTACCTCAGAGTCTCTCTGAGTRCRTGTSTATGTACATAATTCAATTTAATGARCATGGTTCTCGATCCCTCTCCTATTGACCCCTGTCATCTCATACTCTAAGTAATTAAAGTGYTTTTCTTAATAGACATCCTCTTTCCATCATGGTTGTATTGTTGTTTAGGCTGTAGATCCAACTGGAGATTGAAATCATGGAATACTAAAAGCATTCCTGAGCAGCATCAGTACTCTGTGCTGCTTTTTGTAGCAGAGAATCACAGAACAGTTTAAAAAGAAATGCTGTCTTCATTTTGAGAGTTTAGACATGTCAGCATAGAATTAGCAATGCTTCATCCTYCTCTACAGTSCTTAAAGCAAGGCAAAAAGAGAGGTAGAAACATTTTCAAATCTAAATTCCTCTCAGGGTTATCTGAGGACAGATGTTTTTCACACTCCAGACTTTCACGTAGGTTTTGTTTAAAAGTTTAGCCATTACTGGTCAGGACTGTGTGCCCACACACTGAAGTTTATGTCTCCCTGGAGACTCCTAAGACCTTATTTTTTTTTCTTTTTTTTTTTTTTTTTTTTTTTTTACAGGTGGAAGAATAAATTCTGCATTTGACATTACAAGTTGCAGAGGTTTTTTTGAAAATACATAGCTCACCTCTCTATTTCAAGTTAAAAAATCAGCATCTCAGGTTCATGGTGACTTAAAGCCAGACCTCTCACTGAGCCAGACCTCAACCTGGGGGGCTGTCCCTGGCAGGGTCAGGATCAGACCTTGTGAGGGGAATCAAACACATCCCCAGGCAGGGCCATGGGAACAAGCTGAGCTTGGTCCAGGAGGTCAGTCTGTGGTCAGGGCCAGGCATCTGCCCAGGTTCAGAGCTAGCCCTGAGGTTCAGCCAGCAAACTTTGAGGAGAAAAGATATTTTTGGGACCCTGATCCAGGTGGAGTTTACTCATCCCTCTCCCCAGTTTGGGAAAATTGGTTACTGTATATTTCTGTTTGGGTGTTGTTTGTTTGGTTTTGTTTTTTTTTTTTAAATTCAGGTGATCCATCAGATTAAAAAAAAAAAAAAAAGACTTATTTTATTTTGCATTTATTTACATTTGTTTACATTACAAAGCTGTGTGGGATGGGACACTGAACAGACTGATCTATTGGGTGGCATCCCTGTCCATGGTGGGAGAGGAGTTGGAACTTGACAATCTTCAAGGTCTTTTCTAAGTCAAGCCATTCTATGATTCTGTGATACATTAATTTATGTATTATAAATTTAATATATTAATATTTTCCATTCTAGAAAAAATTAGAAGACTTGAATGCTGACTGGAAGGCAATACACCACTTAATTCGGCAACTAAAGGAAAAGCCAGCATTAGCAGCRTTTGGCCATCTATCTTCAGGTGTCTGTAAGTGCTTCAATATATTTGTTTCTTAAAATTAATTACAAATCACACATTAAAATGAAAATGACTGAAGATGGTCAAAATTAATTCTGCATCCTTAAAAGTGTTACTATGGCATTAAAGTGTTTTTTTTTTTATCACTGCCTTTCTATTTTATGCAAAGTACTCAGAAGACAAATTAGATTATTCTTTGATGAAAATGTTGCAGAATGCTTTTCCAATTATTACTGTTTCAAAGTAATTTCTCTTATATTCCATGAAGAGGTGAGATTTTTMCTTTCTACATGTACTAATGGAGGAWATACTACAAAGGGAGATGAATTATTTAAATTAAAATATAATAATGCTATAGGTCAAGTATCTGTAAATTAGTAACATTCTGAAATTCTGAAATTTTTATTACTGACAGGGCAATAAAGTGAGACTTTCAAAAACAAGTTTGTGTAGTCATAGAAAAGGTCACATGACAACATGGTAGGAGTAATTCTGCAGTTAAACATTAAGTCTGTGTTACACATCTCTTGGTGTGTTGCATTCATGTACACACAACAAGACACCTGATCTCCATTTCATTTAAATTATTTGGACAATATTTATGTTAGATGCTTCTCATATGTCTTTGCTCCTTCTTGTTCCCTATGAGAATTACAAATTCTTTTTTTCCTCCTTGATAAATGGATTTTATATCCCAGTGCTTTCCTTTGAAATGTAGTGATTAAGCATAGATGAAAAAGAAATGTGTAATGGAAGCACTGTGGTCAATCTGAGTTTCTAAAGTCTTTAAGATGCTTGACTTGATATTGAACCATTTCAGTTGATTGAATGAAGAATGTTACCTGTACAATTTGGAAAACCACTYATCATATGTGGGAGCAGAAGGAACTCTGTCCCCCCAACCCCTATCAGATTTCCTATAACTCAGGCTAGGATATAGCTGAAGTAGTCACTGGGGATTGGATTTCATGTGGGATGTTGATCTCTCTTGTTTTTARCATGTTTTAGTGGGTAACATAAAAGAAAAGCTTAAATTGGAGATTTCTCTACCTTCTACTAGTAGAAGCAAAGCACTAGTACTAGTACTAGCAAAGCAGAAAAAACATTTTCTTCAGAGAAGTACATGATTTCTCTGTAGAGAGAGATTCCAGAAATTTTGGTATCAGAAGACAATCTGACTCCTGCCCAAATAACACAAATGACTTCAAGCAAAGGACGTGTCTTACTTGTGGCCTGTTGAAACTGAGTTAAAAGGAGCTATTGTTTGGCTTTAGTCCCTTAGAACTGCTGTGGTTCCAGGGGAAATTATTTCAATTTTCTAAAAAGAGCCAAATATCATTACTACATTTGAAGACTAGTAGTACAACATTATTCTTGCTTTGCATGATTTTGTTCCAAGACATTCTATAGAAATTCATATTATAACATGGGTGAATGAGGAGACATGTAATCACTTTTTGCTGTGCTAAACTTGCTGTGTCAGTTTTCTGTGTGAGCAGGTTATGTCGGGTTCCAGAGGGAAGGAATGTTGACAAGTTGTGTATTTGCTGTTACAAAAGAAATTATAATAATGAAACAAAAGCAAGAACACGGAGTAGTAATGCAATATATTCTTATATTACCTCTTCTCTAGCTGAAAAATTGCAGAATTACTCACCTTAATGCAAGATGTAGTCTCTGACTGCTAACRTTTCTGAGACTCTGCAGATGGAATWATACATGCAGAAAATGAATGCTGTGGTGTTCTATAAAGGATTAAGCAGGAAGTAAGAWTGATTTCCCTTCCATTGTCAAGAACACTTTAAATTTGAACCTGTGCTTGTAGCACTAATTCATATTTTTTTCTTTATTTGAGTCAGTTTATTGTGATCACATCATTATAGGTGTATTGACATAGAACTGTAGAGTTCAGAAGGGACCTGGGGAGGCAYCTATTCCTCTTGCTCAAAGCACAGTTGATTAGTGCAGGTTGCTCAGGGTCATGTCCAGTCAGGTTTTTAATACCTCCAAGGATGGAGACCCTACCACCTCTCTGGGCAACTTTTTCCAGTGCTGAGCAACTCTGACAGTAAAAAAAAAAAAAAAAAAAAAAAAAAAAAATTCTTCATCCATTTAAATAGAATTTCTAGTATTTCAGGTTTTGTATGGTGCTTCTCATCCTGTCACTGGGCTTCATGGAAGGCAGTCTGGATCTGTCTTCTTTACTCTCCCAATCATGTATTTAAACACATGGATATGATCCCCCTGAGCCTTTTCTTCTCCAGGCTAAGACAGCAGGTTTCCACAAAGATGGGAAATTATATCTGCTGCTGCTAAGGTATTTTCATATTTCATTAAAAAAATGGGAGGACAGGAGGTAAGAAATTGAATGCCATTGGTCTAACCATTCTCTGCTATAAGTTCTGCAGTTATTTTAACCACTTATGTTATAGGTTTTTTTTTTTTTACCTTGTTTACTCTGTGCTGCTGACTCTCATGAACCATTGGGACTCAAACTGGCTATGGGAGAGCCAGCTTTAACCAAGCCTCCCAAAAGCTAAACAATCTCATTCAAGCTATTTCTTAAAGAAAGATGCACAAAATTATTTCAGAAGGATTTTGTGAAGCAATAGCAGTATTCCCTGTTGATAATTATTCACTTCCTGATYCTATAGAGGCTTTTAGGGACATCAGGACTGAATAATGTTGACATGTATTTGAGACCAGGGAATGAAGATGTAACTGGCTCATCTCTACTGCCCTGTCAAGTATCATTTGGTCTGCTCTGGCTACAAGGACTCAGACAGAGAGTCTTAAAAAATTCCATCTGGTGGCTGTTACAGAGTTAAAGAACCCTGGTTATAATTATTTCTCGGTCTGCATATTAGAGTTTCTTCAGCAGAAGCACTAAAAAAATAGTCCTTAATATTCCACCAGTCCAGAGTGCCCTCAGGCATAAGGAACAAGAACTACTTCTCCAGCTCAAAAAATGTACTTAGCTGAAGGGTATGACTAAAACCTTAGCAAAGATTGACTTGCAAGATAAGATGAATCAGGAAGAAAATCACACTTGCTATCTGTACTTGACAGGATAACGTGAAATGGTGTGAATGTCTCTATCCAAATACCTTGATGCATTTGCTTAGCCAGCAGTTTGGAAACATTTTAAAAAGAGAGACATGCAGTTCTGGAATGTGCTTTTCCAGGAGGGAGAGTTTTTAATAGCCTTATTAGCATTCATATGAATTATTTTTCTTCTTTTGTACCGAAGGGCTATCACTGTGTTTACTTAATTAGTTAAGTAAAGGTATATATTGCTTTGCAAACGCTTCTGAATTCATCATGGGGTGGGAAGCATTCCTGACTTTTCTGGAGAAAGATATTTCCCATAATTTGCCTTCATTCAAGTAACATGCCAGGGGAAAATTTTGATCACTTTTATTTTGAGCTACCTTGAAAATACAGTTTCTTTAAATGGATGTGTATTTATTTTCAGTTATGCTGTACATGAAGTTGTTGAAATCTTAAAAATAACTACAGATGAATACAACTGAAAGTACTCAGACTGAAAGTACTCAATTAATTTTACATTTTACATGTTCAACTAATGAAACTGTGAGCAATATATTATATTAATACTCTTGCAGTTTAACTCATTCCATGAGCAGTACTCTGTACAAGCAATTTCATTTTCTTCTGACTGCATACGCAGGTTTTGTCCCTTTTTTGTCTTTTTTTTTTTTTTTTTTTTTTGAAATGCTTATCAAGTAAAACAAAAACCTGTGACTGTAAAATGACAAAAAATAGTTGAGTGAGAATCAGTATCAATTACAACGGTGAAAATTCTTCTGAAATTAAGTAGAATTTGTCCTTTTAAACTTTTAAAGTTATCAATCTTATTTTGGAGCATCATTTGTAGCAGGTCTGGAAAAGGAGAAAGAAAATAATGATTTGTGCTTCCCTGTACAAGGTAGGAAGGCTTTTTAGGATGTAGGATGGATAAGGAGGAATGGGAGGGGAGTGAGGTTTCCTGCTGAGTCCATTAGATGTGGGTGGTAACRTCAGGGCTGTGAGCTGCAGTAAGTTCACCAGCAGCAATGCTGGTGAAGAGAATTCATCACTTATTAATCCCACTATTCAGCTGGGGTGTAGGAAAAAGATTCACAGCAGTMAGAGTTGATAACACTTTGAATCTTGAAGTTTGAATTAAAACAGTTCTATCTGTGAATCTGGGGAAGCTAGCGACAGCAGAATTTTGTGTGCTTGTCCTTTGGTATTTTAGTTGCAGGAGCATAGTAGATCTCCTTCTGCTTGGAAAGTTTAGTTTGTGTTTTATTTCTCTGTGAAGCAGGTCCCCACCTGGGCTAGGCATGCTGTGTTTATCTAGGCTTGTAAGGTCATATACAACAGTTCTTGAAAAATATCACTGTTACTCTGTGTATGCACCGCTGTGGCTTCATGTGGCTGGAATTCATATTCCCTGCTCACAATTCATAACCTAAGAAATGTGTACTGGTGCTAGTAGAAATACATCATTCATGAGCCTGTAGGTTTTGGAGGAAACTTAGCAGTAAACAAAAGCATGTATGTGAAAATATATGCATACCTTGATGAAATAAAATTTAAAACYAAAATCCAGTGACCTCAGAAGCTGAAAGTGCTTCTGTAGTGCTAATGGCTGTATTATATGCATCTGGAAATTTCTTTTATTTTCATAATAAATGCATAGTTGAGTTATTTATTATTCTGTATGGGTTACTTCTAAGATAGAGTGATGTACAGATACACATAACAGTATTCTGCATTATGAAGACTGCTCTGTTAAATCTCTAATATTTGGTTTAATATTTTCAGTGGGGATGAAGGATTCTTTCTTTAGGACATGATAACCATTGAAATATATTCATTTCCATGGAATTCAGAGCTGGATTGTGTACTGTTCCATTGTCTCTTTAAAAACAAACAGTTTGTGTTTAAGAGATAATCAGGAGACAATGACAAAAATGTAAGAAACAAAATGACAACAGCTA